GATGGAGCCGCTTCTCGGCAGCGTGGGCCCGCGCTGCCCACACGCTGGACCTGTATTCCGCCTGGCCCTGGGGTTGCCTGGACGACGCGGCCCCGAGAGGACGGGAAGGTGGGGACTGGAGGGCCGGCATGCCTGCCCTTCCTGACAAACCCAGCCCCGTTCAGGGAAGCAGATGGGACTCAGTCTCCTGCAAGGAAAAGAAGTCACATCCCGCCCACCTCCTCGGTGCAGCGGGGCTGCTGTCTGTCTCTCTGTCTCTGACTCCATCTCTACGCCTGCTAGGTTACAGGGTCCGACGGTCTGCACCTCGGGTGACCTCCCATTCCTGCCCTGTCACCCACCCTGCAGTGGGCGGACACTGCACCCGTGGACATGCGGGAGAGGGGTTCCCGGGTCCAACCACCCTCTGCTGTCCCGGGGAGGCCCGTTCTGCCCGTCTGTTCTTTGGTGTGGGGTCAGGAGTGGGGGCGTGGGGCCTGCGTGATGGTGCGGTCGAACTCCCCTGAGGACCGCACCTTGTACCCTGCTGCAGGGCCGTGCCGGTGGGAGAAGCAGGAACGTGGGTGCTTTGTCTCACAGTAACAAGCGTGGTCACTGAAGTCTACTGGACACTTTATTGTTACATGTTAACAGAGCCATCGGTCACTTCAAGTGTTATTGGATAATTTACTGTTACATATTGACAAAACTCTTGGTCACTTAAAGGACGGAAGTGTTTTTCCATCCAGTAACTTAAATCATGTAACAAAGCAGAAAGCCCGGGACACACAGGGTGCCTGGGCCCCTCCCCTTCATGCACCTTGTGGGGGTCCTCTCCCGCCCACTCCGCCTCGCTCATGACTGCTGTTCCCTGCAGTCCTCACTCCTTTCCCCACCAAAGGTGGCTAAATACAGTCTTTTCTTACGCTTTTCAGTAGCCTCCCTGAAGGAAAAGATCATAAACTCTTGATTGACGCGGCACTTTTGTTCAGTCGTACTCCACCTCACCCGTGTGGTTTACTAATGCGCTAACAAAACGCAACTTTTAAGTCTTAGCACATGCAGTTTTAAAGGATGTCTAAATTTCCGCCAATTTTTAATGAAAATGTCTTCAGAAATTGATGATGTAAAGATGGCGCCCATGGGTGGTTCTGACTTTTTAAAAAGCAAACAAACAGGTTAGCGTCCCGTTCTGGTGGCGTTTTCCCCTTGTTTGACTTCTTGTTCTTCCATCGTAATCCCAGACACAACTGGCAGATTGCCCACACTGCCGGCAAGTCCGCGTCTGTCTAACTGCCCCGGGCCGGATCCAGCATTCCTAGGACGGCCATGCAAGCTTTTAGACCGCAGAGCCGGGGGTCCCCAGGATGGGGTAGGCTGCACAGACAGGAGGCTCTCTCGCGGGGTTCTGTCAGCAGCCTCCAGGGGAAAGCAGGAGATCGGGGAGGCTGTTCCAGGAGTGTGGCTTCTGCCCTGGGCCCTTGGGAGCCGCTCTGTGGGCTCAGCCTGCCACGCAGCATCCCACGGGAGGGAAGGGAGGTCAGTGCTCCAGGCCCGCGTGATCTGCACCTGGCAGGTCCACCGCCTACTGGCCACCGAGCTGTACTCGGCGGCGCACTGGCCCGCCCTGCTGCCCCTCCGCCCCTGGGAGCACACAAGGCTCCTGGACTTCACGGCCTTGCAGGCACTGGGTGTCTCGCCCGGGTAATAGCGTGTGATTTGGGTTTCTCCCAGGGGATGGGGCACAGCGGCCTCCCCCTTCATCCTTTCCTCTGTCAGCTGAGCGTCTGGGAGACCCGACGGGAGCTGTCTACGCATGGCATCTCGTTCCTTTGCTGTGGGGGGAGGTGCCTCCTCTCTCTCGAAGTCTGCTTCCCTCTCGTCTTTGGTTGAAATTCTGACATCTGGGCCTGGCATGGGCTCTGTGGTGTCCTGTGCTGTGGCCACTGCACGGCCACCACCATTGGGAGCTGCTGGAACACCCGGCACCAGACGGAGGCTGCCCCGCTGCCCTGGGACCGGCTGCATCCTCACGTCCTTCTCTGTCACTCGGAAGGAGCAGGTTCTTGTCCTGACCGGGCCAGCCGTGTCCTCCAGGAGCAGCCCCTCCCCGTCGAAGTGGTAGCGGTACAGGCTGTAGCCGTCGGCGCTGTGGACGCTGCCCTGCCTCAGGAGGAAGGTGGCGTCACATTCTGACGAGGCCCGTGACCGCGTTGGGACCAGGTCTGACCTGTCGATGCCTGCCAGGTTCTCGAGCGCATTCACCATCCGGCCAGACAGCTCTTCCAGCTGTGACAGCCGGAGGTCCACCGTTTGGAGGGACGTTTTCATGAAGGTTTCTCTCTCGTTGATTTCCTCCAGCCTCATGGACATGTTTTCAACTCTGGTGAATACAGAGACATACACCTGTTACATTAAGGTGAACCGGGCAGGAAAAGCAAAGAGGCAGGTCAGCAGGGAGTGTGGTAGCTGAGGTGGCCGGGTTCCCACGTGGCTGACCGCGGTTCTAGTCCTGGACATGGAGGCTTGACAGTCATGTCGGACGTGAGTGTGTGTGCGTGTGTGTGTGCCCAAGATCCCAGGAGAAGGGATTGCAGGGCGGCCACATCCCCTGGAGGCGTGATTTCTCACTTTCCCTCTCACGGTCTCAGTCTCTCTCTCTCTGGCGATTGCATATGCCCTATATCAAAAACCTTAAAAAAAAATAAAGAAAAGAGGTAACAGGACCAGCGGATGGCATAATGGTTACATCACTGGACTCCCACATACTTAACCATGGTTCAAGCCCCAGACCCAGTGGCTTGAAACTCACATCAGGTATGCCCAAGATAACAAGAGGAAAACAGAGGGAAAAAAGGACTGCAGCGTGACCATTCCCCCAGGGTGATTTCTCACTTTGTCTCTCTGTCTCTCTCTCCAGCAAGCGCATGTGCCTGTAGCAAAAATCTCTATTAAAAAAAAAAGAGGTAACATCATCGCGATATCATTTTTTATCTTCTGAGAACCTTGGCCTTGTTGGGCATCTGTGTAAACCTCACGTGCTCTGGGGGTGACACTAAACGCACTGCGAGGAGCAGCTGAGTGCCGGGTCACACACATGGTGCATCCTGCTCTCCTGTCATTACATGTCCACACTGAGCACCACCAGGGCCCTGGTCTGGGCTCACGTGACCGTCAGGAGAGCCCTGGGGGCAGGTGCCCTCCTTGCACCCACTCAGAAGAGCCAGACAGGCCTGCAGCGGTGCTGACCTGCCACAGCGCAGAGGAGTGGTGGGCCTGGGGTCTGACAGCAGGCCAGCTCCGCGTCGGCCCCAGCCTCTGCCCAGCTGCTGCGTCCACACCCCTGGGAACAGACAGGGCGCCCACACTGGGCTTTGAGGGTTACTGCAGCTGTCGGCAGTGAATGGTTATGACAAATAAATTAAAACCCTCCTTTGGAGTTCGGGTAATTCAGAAAATGAATCCACAATTAGGTTTGGGTCATCGGGTGCTTTATCTGGGGCAGCGGGTTGTTCACCCGCCTGGACACCAGCAACGCCAGATGGCTCCTTGTCTCGCCCACTGGCTTTCCCTCGAAGAGGCCACCCCAGCGGCCCTGGCAGGCGGTGGTGCCGGCTGGCAGCGCTGTCTCAAGGACTCCTGGGAGGACAGCCTGAGGGACTGGGGCTGCCTGGACCGACATCTCACTGGGCCTCCAGAGCGTTGTGCACAAATGCGATTAGAATGGCAAGGAGTCTACTTTGGTGCAAAAGCTGTTTGAGGCCCATGCATCATCTTCGAAATTCACATTTCCGGGCCGCCCCGCAGAGCCGGCTCCTGTCTCACACTGTGCAGTGCAGACCGTCCAGTGGGCCTGTGGGAGTCTGCTCTGGGGCAGGAGGCAGCGGGATAGTGCCAGGCTTCGTGCGTCCCTGTGAGGTGGGCGCTGGTCTGAGTCCTGCTGCTGGGGTCTTCTCAAAGTCTGCTGCCCCCGCTGCTCCAGCCTCTGCCCAGCCTTTCGGATCCCTCTAGGCCCGAGGCTTGCCTCGCCCACCCCAGGGCAGTGTGGCCACTGCTGCCGCCCCTGCTGAGGCTGCCCTCCCGTGGCCTCCGCCTCCCCCTCCACCCGCAGCTGCTCTGCCTGCCTGCCCCCGTGTCGCTCTGCTGCGGGGAGTCCTGGGCTTCTATTCTTAACTCAGGAAGAGGACTATTTTTACTCCCCTTGGGAAACCACAGCCCTGAGCAGGAAGGGTCTGGCTTCCCGGAAGTTTGCCTGTGTGAGGAACCTCAGCTCCTCCCCGACCGCCTGGGCAGCGCACTTGCTCCCCCTGCAGGTCAGGACGACAGAAGAGCTTGCGCTGGGAACATCCCCTCCCTCTGACGCACTGTCCTCTGTAGTAGAGGGGAGGGTCTTCCAGAAGGTCACGGGAGACGAGACACGAGACACGAGGTGGGGAACTGCATTTCAAGACTTCTATGCATCAAAATTCACTTGCACTTCCATCTGTCCCGCCTTTAAGACTGCATCACCACGCCCCCAGCTCCTCTCCAGTCTGTAACCCTGATGGTTTGTTTGCAGTAAAAGCCACATTGTGGGCCAGTAGGTGGCATGGTCAGCTGTCCGGTTCAAGTCCCGGCCCCGGCGGCTCCAACATCACACCAGATGTGTGCGTGCATGCCCCAAATCCCAACAGGAGAATAGGAGAGAAGGGATTGTGGTGTGGCCAGCCCCCCTGAGACTGGTTTCTCACTGTCTGGTGCCCTATAGCAAGGACAGACAAACCCCCACAGAGTAGCAGACACCCCGGGTGGGCAGACAGTGCATCTGGGCCAAGTTTCAAAGCCAATGCAAAGACACCTCCTGTGGCATCTGGTCCAGCACAGGGAGTCCGTAACTGCTGCATGAGTGTGTGGGTGAGCACACGGGGATGCAGAGTAGAGGTAACCTGCCAGTCAGCCAGAGACGCATGGCTCCCCCCATGTTCTTCTGCAGAGATGCACGGACTCCCCCCACCCCGTCCTTCTGCAGAGACACAAAGGCTCCCCCCACGTTCTTCTGCAGAGATGCACGGGCTCCCCCAACCCCGTCCTTCTGCAGAGACGCATGGCTCTCCGCATGTTCTTCTGCAGAGAGGCACGGGCTCCTCTCACCCCACCCTTCCACAGAGACACACGGGCTCCTCCAACCCTGTCCTTCTGCAGAGACACATGGCCTCCCACCATCCTGTCCTTCTGCAGAGACACATGGCCTCCCACCATCCTGTCCTTCTGCAGAGACACATGGCCTCCCACCATCCTGTCCTTCTGCAGAGACGCACGGGCTCCCTCACACCCTTCTGCAGAGACGCACGGGCTCCCCCCACCCCATCCCTCTGCAGAGTGGCACAAGCTCCCCCCACATCCTTCCGCAGAGATGCATCGCACGAGCTCCCCCCACATCCTTCCGCAGAGATGCATGGCCTCCTCTCACTCCCTTCCTGTGTCCTGGCTTGGGATTCCCTGTGTCATAAACTGCACTACCAGCCGGCCTTCCTTTCGTCTTTTTTTAAATTTAATTTTACTTATTATTTTTAAGTTTGTTATAGAATATGTGTGTTCACCAGAGAGAAAAAGAAGGTGAGAATAAGAATGTGCCAGGTCTGGGACTTGAACCGCAGTCTACCACGTGGGAGTCCAACGCCTTAACCACCACACCACCTCTGGGCCTATCATCCCTTCTTGAAAGGAGTTGTCCATCCACAAACGAGGGTTTCTTTGGGGCATTGTCCCCACAGACTGCAGCAGCAGTGGCTTCACCATCCTTCCATCCAAGCTTCGCCATGAGTTCAGGGTTTGTTTTTCGGGGCGAGCAGAGTTTGTGTTGTGCTGAGGGGCTCTTTGCACACCGCTGCCTGGTTCTCTCAGTGCTTCTCCCCAGACTGCTCAGGCATTAGAACGCATGAGGACACGTTTATTTTGGTGCAAAACAGAATTGAGAGAAGAAAGCAAGCCTGTCCGGGAACTCGCCCCTCCCCTCCCCCTGCACCTGTCAGAAAAAAAACGCAGCCGCCGTGACAGGTGCAGGGCGAGCGTGTGGGAACTATATAAAACGGCACGGAGGAAAGCACACAGGTTTGCGCACGCACAACGACCCCGACGGCACAAAACGGGCACCTCTGCCATCTCCCTGTGTCTCTGCGTGTCTGCTGAGGGGATCTGCCTGACTGTGACCACTCAGCCTTCAAGTCACTCACCAGACCCACGTTATTTGGGTGGAGGAGGTCGGTGGTTTCCCATCGGTCAAGTTCAGGCACAACAGTACACGGTACACGTCCGTGGGGCTCCTCGGTGATGAAGAGGATGCCACGCGTGGCCTCGTACTACTGGGCGTTGTGTAGACCTGCTTGTCAATGCTAGTCCCGGCGCCTGCCCCGTGGCCAGGGACCCGTGTGCCCTTGCTAAGGACAAGATGTAGGCGTGGCGCTCTGCAGGGAGCCAGTCCTTAGAGCTGCTTTGTGTACAGTCCTCTATGAAACCAGCTCTTCACCTGCGAGGCCGCCCGGGCTAGATGCACTTGTCGTTAGTGAGCGCATCAAAGCTCAACATAGAGGTCCAGTTTGTACTTGAGGAAACCCCGTCTCATGACGTGTGGTTCTCTGTCCTTGCGTTCTAAGATTCCTGCCCTGTAAGTTTATTCCAAATCTACAGATCATGAAGTTGTCTAATCCACGCTAAGGTTTACATGCAGCTACTTAATCCCATGTGTCCTCACTCAGGGCTGCCCTTCACAGTTGGTAATTACAGGGAACGCCCAGCGTAGGACCTTGCTGTGTGTACTAAGAGCTCTATATGTGAAAGACCAAACGGAAACTAACAATAACAGAACAAGACTTGAAGGCCCGTCTGGCTTTCTATCAAGTCGAAAGCCGCTGAGGGAAAACGAAGCTTTCTGGGATTCCAGCTCTACTGCCCGGTTCGTGAATATGCAGTGGCTGCAACACTAGGTCTAGCGTGCGCCAGGTCCTTCTCCTGTCTGGTTTGGCGGCACTTCAGGTCCCGAGTGGCCGCCTGTGTCCTCGCCCCCACTTTCAGCTCTCCTTCCTACCCTGCCATGCGGGACTCCAGGGTAGAGCGGGGAAATGGTGCCTACAAGCCACACTGTGGTCACAGGTGGGACTCGAACCCAGTCTGAGCGGTGAGCACCACTGCAGCTGTGCCCACAGGCGGTACAGACGGTCACACCCTGTCTGCCCTCAGCTGGCCTGGTCAGGGAAGGGGTGCCTTCTCCCCTCACCTCTCCCCTTTAGTCTTAGCTGTTCACCTGTGAGTCAGCCAGACCAGCAGGTCGTGGGCGTGAGCAGGGAGCACCCAGGTCTGGGCCCAGGGAGCGGGAAGGGCATGTCTCCGGCCCGCACTCTTCATTCTGATGAAGCCTGTGCCGGGCCCCAGAGAGACTGACGGCCCGCCTGGGGCCTGGCAGAACGACAGCACAAGGGACAGGTGGGGGAGACCACGGGGCAGACACGGCTTCTGCTGCCCTCCACGGGCTGCCACACCCAGGTGCCCGCTAGCTGCAGGGTGGGCGTTCAGATGCTCTGTGTGGGGTAGCTTATCTTTCTCATGAAGAAATCATTTTTGCATCCTGAAAGCTTAGCAATTACTGTTAAAATGTCAGAGAAGTATTTCGAAGGTATACTGAAAGGTATACTTAGGGGCCCCAAGTTGGTGCAGGGATCCCTGAGGTGGCTAGCTGGAACTGGTTACATCACAGGGCACTGGGTCTGAGGGGAGCGAGGCCGGGACCTACTGCCAGGAGGTCCTTGCTAACCGCGGGCTGGTGGAGTCCGGCCTGGGCCGGGCCCAGGAAGTGCCACGGAACTCCCAGAACACGGCCCTGCCTGTTCTCCCGAGGTGCACGCAGACTGCACTTAGCGTGGGAGCAATGACAGGACCCCCCGGCACGCCCCGCAACCTCCGTGCTGTTGGTTACGCCCTTCAGAACATGCCTTCCAAGTCAGCTCCTCACCCTACCCAGACTGCTCAAAATCACACAGACGGGGTCTCACTGCCGCTCTGGCCATTCCCGGCCCCGGGAGCAGCCCTCCACAGTTTGGGAAATGCATCCTTCCAGCCTCCTGCCCTCTGCCCCACCATCTTCCATCCCTCCGGACCCTTGCCCGCACTGGCACTGCGGACCTACTGCTGGCCTGGGCTGGCTTCACTGGGTACCAAGGGTGTGGGTGTCTCCCATAGATCCTGCCTGTTCAGAGGTTCGCGGGGCGGCGAGGACCACCCAACCCCTCCAGCTCCCACGTCAGGGTGCACAGAGGGGGCCTTCTCCTCAGCTGTGGGGTTGCGACACAGCGAGGAGCCCAGGTGTGGACAGGTGCCCACGCACAGCACCACCACCGCTGGGGACTTGGCGCTATCTTGGGGAGATGGGCAAGGCCCTTTGCATCAAACAGCCGGCGAGTGTGGGGACCCGGAGTGGGCGTGCACGTGGGCTCTGGCTCCCGCAGAGTGGGCGCTCGCAAGGCCACAGCCGTGGGCCTCGTGGGGGCCGCTCACCTCTCGCTGGTAACGCGGATGCGCTCCTCGCTGGACGACTGCTGCTCGTCCTCCTTCTCCCGGAAGTGCTCCTGCACACACAGCTCCTCGAACTCGTGCAACCTCTTCAGCTCCTCCTCGCTCAGAAACAGCTCTGCCCGGGAGAGGCCAGGAGGGTGTGGGCCGCCAGCACCACGCCCGTGGCAGCCAGGCCCCAGGCTGCCCCAACCCACCATCCCCGTGCTGTGTTGGAGAGCTGGTCTCTACACACGCCACAGCCTGAACAAGAGCTGTTGGCAGGGGCTGGGGGACCCACTCGCATCTTTCAGGAAAACTTTGCTTCTATTTTCATAGTCAACTGAAGAGGATTATTTTCTCTTCTTTTTTTTTCTTAAGGTTTTTGCCATAGGGCACAAGTGCTCACCAGAGAGAGACAGTGAGAGGGAAAGTGAGACATCCCCCCAGGGGCATGGCTGCACTGCAATCCCTTATCTGCTGGGAGCATGCAGTTAACACAAGCTGAGTATGAAAGAACTGCCCCTCATGCCTAGAGCAAGGACTCAGCTGAGGAGAACTGTTTGCAAAGTCAACAGTTTTACAAGTTCTGGACCTCACTTCCATTGTGTTACTGTACTGGCCTGCACTCAGTTTCTCTGCCATGGGCCTTATTGCCATACCCCGGTTCCCCATAAAGGCACCCCCAGCCTTACTATAACTTTTACAATAATCCTAAAAGAATGAGGATCCACTAAGGCGGCAGCTGCGTAGGGCGGCGGCTGTGAACAGGAGTTACTCCCATTAGACTCATCCCACCCTCCTGGAAAATGTCAATAAAGAATGCTACATTCACTTCTCCTACTGGGGATTACTAATGGGCGAAGGATCTCAGTAGCC